CTCTCGAAAATCAGATTATGGAGCACGTCTGTAAATCCAACAGCGTGAAGCATGTACAGAACAGACCCGGATCTGGGATAAATTGATAACCTGTAGAAGATAATGGTTAAAGTGGAACATTGAGTATTGTACTGAAGTCCATACGCCCTCGTATAGATAACAGTGGTAATTTACCCAGCTAGTTATTGATAGCTACCCACACTGGCTTTTAATGGCACGAACAACAAACAGGCCAGCATTAAATCCATAAACACATTCCAATCCCTACACAAAAATAGCATGATAAGGTGACCTTCCGTAAAAGTTGTCACATTAAGTTACAGTCAAAGGACATAATATTCCAGTGAAAGGATTGCTCCACTTCTTAGACAGAAGTACATGTACCAAGATAACCAAAAAATGTTTAATGTTAAAACCAAAATACATTTATAGATGCTATCTACTGTATGCACTGCAGATAGACATTTGGTCAATAATGACACATCTTTACTGTAATTTACAGGCTCTTAGGAACACTTGCTGCAGTGTATGTTCTTTTCAACACTTTCTGTAGTTTATGCTCTTTTGAAAACTTGCTGCAATTTATGTCAATATGAACACTTGCTGTAGTTTATGCTCTTATGAACACTTCCTGCAGTTTATTTTCTTATGAATGCTTTCTGTAGTTTATATTACTATGAACATATACTATTGTTAATGTTCTTATGAACACTTGATTCAGTTTATGTTTTTGCGAGCGCTTAAATAAGGCAATGCTCAATTTTCATTTTCCGCTAGCCCCTGGGAGGCTTCAATTGATAATTGCCACGAGTTTGATAATATTATATCCAGGTTGACGTACGACCGAACGAGGCAAGTATTATATTGTTCGGACGTTAATTGATATGTAGTTCCATTAAATTAATTGGCTTGAGGATATTATTTCGAACAATACATTTCTTGTTCGCTTACAATTCTCTCACAATAAGACGGAATATGGATTGGCGTATATGGGTGCTTACGACACACACCTAACACAATTTTTTTATTTTAAGGATCTCCGACCCACTACATGAAATAAGAAATTCCATTGTTGTTTAGTGTACATGAAGTAACCCTTTACAATTGTATTTTCTCGTACCTATAACAGAGTTGTCCCACGTCATAACCCATGCTAGATTGTTCTATCTCGTCCGATCTGTCTGATACCTTTACGTGATATTTCCTACACTACGATGTATTCATCTACGCGGTAACGGCTTGAACTTGTCATTCTGCATTATAAATATTCTGTTTTGTCGTTAAATGTATTATTTTGAAAATGTTGGATATTTGATGTTGTAGAAAAAAATATATTCTACATTGTGAAATACGTTTTTTTCTTTGTGAGGACGGACTAGCTTATTGTCTTTTGCAAAATTTAATAGATTTTTTTTCTGGCTAAAAGGTGCGCGAAAAAAAGATACATGTTACTGAGCAAGATCGGGTTATCGCAGTCTCAGGCTAAGAATATGTAACATCCCAACCTCGGCTTGCGTCTCGGTTGGGATTATGTTACAGAGTCTTAGCCCTCGACTGCGATAACCCGATCTCGCTCAGTTACAAGTAAAATATATTATTAATCTCTTTTAAGATACAATTGTAACAAGAGAGGGCTAAGGTGTAAGAGGTAGCCGAGCTTCTTAGTTTGATAGGATGTAAGGGGTTATAGCGACTGATGATAGGAAGTAGTTCAGGGGCCATAGTGACTGGTGCTTGGAGGTCAGCGGTTATAGCGTCTGATGATAGGAAGTAGTTCAGGGGCCATAGTGACTGGTGCTTGGAGGTCAGCGGGCTTTGAATTTGACATATTCTCTGATAACATGTCATGGTAAAAAGTTAGCCCCGATCAAGATCTACCAGAAGTATGAAGCGTTCAAGCAGTACAACGAAAGTTATGGTCGTTCGAAAAACGTTTTAAAAAACTTTTTTTTTATATCTGTGACCTTGACCTTTGATATTACGATCATGAATTTGTTCGTGTACCATGTACACGTTGTCCCCTTTCACGTACTGAAATATGAATGTTAGATCTTTATTCGATCTTGAGACAGAGTCTACACAAGATCTTTGGAAATAAGAATAAGAATAAGAATGGCGCCCCAGAGCTACGCTAACAATATCTAATATCCCAGCAGTTCTATGCACTTTCGCTGCTAGAAATAATTTACTCATTAATATTTTTTTCCGTTTTCATAAATGCTAACTTTGGGAAATATGGGCATTTTTCCGCCTTAGCTCTTTTCAATTAATGACTGATCATGTAATCAACTGATATGAATGAAATCATAGATACATTTAATAAATACAAAGCGGGGCGAATATTACATGTCCATCGACAAATGCGCTGACACCACAGCTGCGTGTGCCATTGTTACGTCACATTTGAATTTACACATGTGTGTCACTCGTGATCACACTGGTCAGCTACCATCACCGATGTTATTTATGTGTAAATCGATAGTGCAGTTCCGCACGATTTTACCCTCAGAATTGCATTTTTAGGCCTACTTTTGCATTTTGTCATGTGTTGTATAGTGCACTGATGTGTTTTGTTCTAACAGATACAATCAGACTAGACAGGTATCTGTCAAGTTCATGGTGCCTGTATGATACGTTCATCGTTGTATTTCGTTCTCGGGAACTCTGAAAGCAGTTTAAGATGACTTACTGTTTTCATCGCCGTATTCTTGTTCTCATTTTTTTCCAATAAATTGGTCAATGTTTATATCCATAGCAAACCTTGACTATTTGACGACACTTCTGATTATGATGCTTACATAGTAGCGTAACTAGTAAAACCACGTGTCTTTGTTTCTGTTTATGGGTACACACACTTGTAGCAGACGACGTAAGTTTTTGACATTGGGAGTTGCTCCCCTTAGTTTTTGTATTACTACGCGATGCGATTAACCCATATAAGAAAGACTAAGCAAGCAACGATATCTTACATGACCGGATATGAGAGAAAATGGAGGACTGGTATTCATTACGACTAACAAGCCCGTGCAAGATGTTCCTGTATATAGCCTCAAGGTAATCTGTCCGAGAGTCGATTGTAAAGGCAAAAGGTTATGTCACAGGTCATTATGATCGTCTTGACAAGCTTTTCGATATGTGTAACAATCTTGACTTCAACTTGTATGTTCACAAATAAGGTAAAACACTTTTAAAATATACAATTTATTGTTGTATATATACATAAATATTTACATTCTGTGTTGCATTTGCCTATATGTCGTAAGTAAACAAAATTGCAGTATATGAAACTATATACTACAATTTACAGTGATACAAGGTAAACAAACATGGCCGGCCGATACTTTCGGTATCAATAGGCCTATAGTCGGAAAACATTCTGGATTCGTTAGCATTTAGGTCATTGCAAAAAAATAAAGCAACTTGACAAATTATGACAATATACATTTATTATAAGATTTGTAGGTACCATTAAATATTTGTAAGCGCCATTCTAGATACGAAATTACCAAGTTTGACAACGTCATCACACAGGGGATCGGTTTCGAGATTTTGAGTTATGCATAACATCAGTGAATAACCACAACACTAAAATTCAGCATTTCTAAAAGCTTGTAAAAGTCGAGAGTATCGACAAGGTTTTAGAATGTGTATACATACCTTTTTAAGTGTTGTGGCTTTTCAGTGATGTCATCCATTACAAAAAATCTCGAAACCGAGCACCTGTGAACGTCGTCTGCTAGCGATGCTAATCTGACCGATTAGACATGGAATCTATTTCAATCGAAATGTCCTTGGAATCGTTATCACCTACTGAAAGGACCACTTTAATTAAACATTTCCGAGTAAATATGCTTCTGAAAATAACGTAATATTCCAGTCGAAGGAAACATAAGCGTTTCCGAGGAAACAATCAAGTCTGTTCAGCGCCGCATCACTTCAAAATACATGTAATCTATCAATGCGCGAAAAACAGCTTTAATTTTAAACAAGTAGAAGTTATGCAGTTATTATCAATTTTTCAACATAAACACACTCATATGAAATAAATAATAAAGTTAAGTTTTTGTTCAAACCATTTTATGTGCGTGTGGTTTTCAATGACACGAGGGACTATATTATTTCTTCTGGAAATGTCGGCTGTTCCGGGATTTGAACTTACTGACCTCACTGATATGATAAGCGGGAAATTCAAACGAATTTTTGCTTCATTTACTATACAAAACAAACTATATACATATAAATGTAAATATAAGCATTGAACTGTTACCAGATGCAGTATACAGTCGATATGAATGCAATTTGGGTGACAGATGAATAGAATTCGCCCGTAAAATGTCACCCAAATTGCATTCAAATCGACTGTATACTGCATCTGGGTAACAGTTCAATGCTTAAATGTATACATAAAATGAAACCAAATTATTACAACTTTTGAATTATATAATATGAACTCTCTACCAAATTTACAGAAAATACATAATGTACATTATTAAATGATACAGAATGAACACTCCTGTAAGATTCAAAAAAGCAAATTAACACTACGGAATACAACAAAAATAACACTGTAATGATACAAAATAAAACTGAATTATAAAAATTGGAAAATTAACATTACTGAATTAAAAGAAATTAAAATGAACTCTAACAAATTTACATAAAATATAAAATGAACATTACTAAATTATACAAGTTATCAAATTTAATATTACTGAATAATACGAAATGATATGTACAAAGTAAATTCCATTATAACAGTTCTATGTATGTATTAGATAATCAATATTAGATATAGCCAGTCAATGCATGTGCTCGCTAATCTAGTGTGAAAGATATCCACTATCATTGTCAAATATACAGAATTTATTTTATAATTTGGTAATGTCCGTTTTATTTTATTTTGGTTAACACAAAGCCAGTACAACATATTACATGATCATTTATATCATTTCAATAGTAATTGTTAAACAATACAGTTTCTTTCTACCATTACTTTTTTTTCTTTTTCTTGTTTCAGGTAATTGCTAATTAGTTAAATAACTGTTCAAATGGGCGCCATTTTTCAGTTACTTCGTGAACTTGTTTTGATCTGTCTATTTTGTAAGCTAAATATTCAATTTTTCGATGGTGTTTTAAAAATATTAAGACACCTTCTATTGACGGTAGACTAGACTTACATTTACAGATATATATGAAACGTCTTATTATCAAAAAGCCGAAATTTAGCAATGTGTTATTGTTTTCGCCGGAGTAACTTAAGATGGCGTCCTTTGTACTTATTTCAATTTCTATATTACATTTTACATGTAGTAAGTCTGAAAAAGTTCTCCAAATAGTGCACACATGAATACATTGTCATAAAAGATGATACATATCTTCATCTTCATAGTTACAGAAAGTACATTTTTAATCATCTTTTATACCAAATTTAAACAGAAGCGTATTTGTCCATAGTATTCTGTGATAGATTTTAAACTGAACATTTTGTAAAATGACATCATGAGTGCAACTCCTTGGTATCGAGTAAATAAATTTCCAGTTAATATCTAAATTTGTAATGTCTTGAGACCATTTTTCCATTACTTTTTGGTTTTTAGTTAAAATTGTAGAAACTAATTTTGAATAAAATGTATTGATGGGTTTCGTCAACGTTCTTATAAGCGTGATATTTTCTTTATCTCTAGTATTATTACTGCCCCGATTACGAATTGACCTTTTCCACGACCCTGGGATGGCTGTAATAACACCATAAAAACGGATTCTGTTCATGTCCGGAAAATTAAAGTTTTCTTGAAATTTTCGAAAGGTCATAATGTTGCCATCGTTTTCAAATAAATCTGATACCTTATTTATACCCCGTTCTTGCAATGTTATTATCTATTTTTATATTGTGATTAAACCAAATTGGCTGCATTTTCATGTCCTAAAATTACGTACCCCAAGCTAAAAACACATCTCTCCAGAAGCCGTTGAAGTTTTCAACAATTTTTGTCATATCTTTTTTAACATTAGAGAGAATGTTTAAGTTTCCATATTTTTTTAATTGATCTAACAGAAGTAGTTTCCAGGGAGATGTATTTTAAGGATCGAGAAATTTCTTTATCCAAGTAAATTTTAAAGCTTTAATAAAACTTTCTATGTCTATCATTTTCATTCCACCGTTTTCGTAACTATTTTTTAACGTAGTTCTCTTAGTTTGTCTTTTTTATCATTCCATATAAAATTAAAACAGATATGTTCTATTTGTTGAACAATATGGTACGGTGGATTTGGTAAAACTGTAAATAATTGCACGAGAATAGGGATAGCAAGTGACTTAACAACGGTTATTTTTCCAGCTATGGTAAGATTTATAAGCGACCAGTTTTTCAGAATACGAGTAACTTCCGCTATTTATCATAATAATTAACAAAAGTTGTATCAGTTTTACTAAGGTCGTACTTGATACCAAGGAGTTTAAATTTTCCGGTAAAATTCCATTTTAATTTTCTTTCAGCACATATTTTTTCGTGGCTACCCTTTTTCCTACCTTGCCATATTGCCTCCGTTTTATCGTAGTTTGCTCTAAGACCAGAACATTTGCCAAATGCATCTAAAATATCTAAAGTTGTTTTCAATACAGTATCATCATCTTCAAGACTAATAGTAAAATCGTCCGCCTACTGACTCGCAAGAATTTCTGTTTCACCTATTTTAATGCCATTAATATCTGGAGAAAATTTTAATGTAGCACTTAGTATTTCTACTACCATGATAAACAAATATGGCGACAGAGGGTCACCCTGACGCACACCTCTTTTGATCGGGAAAAAAATTCAGCAAAATCCGTTATTTATTAAAATTGCTACCAAAACCAAAGAAGTCTAAAGTTTTATCGAGAAAATCCCATTCCACCGTATCAAAGGCCTTTTCAAAATCAATTAAAAGTAATATTCCAGATATATCTTTCTAATCTGTTTTCTCGATTAAATCATAAATAATTCTTGTGCATTCGCCTATGTATCTTCCTTTAAGAAAACCCTTTTGTGTGTCGCTGATGATGTTATTTAAATCTGATTTTAATCTGTTTGCCAATACACTGGTAATAATTTTATAATCTACATTCAGTAGCGAAATTGGGCGCCTGTTCTTTAAAAAATCTTTTGCTTTGTTTGGTTTTGGTAAGCAGGTTATTACTCCCTGTTTTTGAGTAATGGATAATTGTTTATTTTCGAAACTATAAGTAATTGAATTAATAAGAAAACGTTTTAAATTTTTCCAAAAAAAATTCAACTGTAAAGCCATCCAGACCCGGAGATTTAGAGTTCTTCATTTTAAAGAGAGCTTTTGCACATTCTGATTCAGTGACTTCACTTTCACAAAGATCTTTTTCTTTGTCTGAAAGTTTATTAATAAATGGATTATCATTACAAAAAAAAGTATTCTTTTGAATACCAGTTATATTTGGATTAATGGAGTTATAGAGGTTTTTGTAAAACAATCTCTGTTCTTCTAAGATTCTTTTAATATTAGTAATTTGGGAACCGTCATTGCCAACTAATTTTGGAATCAGTATTTCGGTATAATTTCTTTGTTCTAAATGACAACAATATTTTGTGCACTTTTCCCCTTCCATATTCCACCTAGCCTTTGCTCTGATCATCAGTCCCCGTATTCGTTCTTCCTAGAAATTATATAGTTCCAATTCTTTTGCTTCCAGAATATTTAAGGTTTCTTGATTTTCAAAAATCAACGGGTCGGTTTGTAATTTCAAAATTTCTGATTCCAATTTCTTTGTCTTATTTTTCCAACTTGCATATGCTATAGTTTTTCCCCTTATAGTCAATTTGATAACTTCCCACAGGAGTTGATCATTTACTGAAAAACTTGCATTGTCAAAATTGTTATCTATTATTTCACCGATTGCATAATCATTAAGAACTTTGTTTATTACACTTTTAACATTTTCAATATAATTCCTATAATGCAGCAATGCATTGTTGAATTTCCACGTTCCAAAAGGGAAAAGCTTGAACGAAACTATATTTACACGATGTACTGTGAAACGTCCTCATCCCACTTTTATCTCATTTTTATTTCATCTACGATCAGTTAAACACTGTGAGAAAAACGCACACTTACTGCACGTTCAGTTTTGTAGCTTTGACGTTAGCGTTTAGAAGATTCAAATGATACATCTTAACTATATCTTAAGACTACGTGGCATGAAAGCGTTCCACAGTACTTGGCCTCAAAGATGTCTTTTACCCTATTTATATAGCATACAGCCCGACAAACGCAGCTACACCCAAACCATAACAAGCAAAAGCAAAACAAACAAAAACTGTTTGTGTAAATTATCAGGGTGTATCTACGTTTGCGTTGAGTGTGTTAACACATTGACCGGACATAATGCATCAATATATGATCATATAACACAATTTACATTAACGACCGTTTCTTTGCGAGAAATATTTTGAGAATGTATTTTTAGTAGTTACGTGTATACACTAACAGAGAGCCATGAGCATGTGCGCTTTATACATCCCCGACTTACCTGTACACAGGTAATCAGCATATCTCGAGTCACACCATGGGCGCTTGCTCGTAGGAATATATCATTAGAGCATGTTATGAAATAGATACATGTGATATGAAACACCTTTTATCTCCGTTATCATTTGTCGTGATCACGCTTCACTTCAATACCGTGAATTACAAACCATTAACCATTGTTTAGTGTTATGAAAAAAAAGTTACCGAAACATTATTTTTGCCTCAAATGCAAGGGCCCGATTGTAAAAAGTGCTTAGCGACATGAATTTGCCAATCGGAATGCAATCTAAGATAATTGAAATAGAAGGTGTTTAACATAGACATAGACAAGTTTATTTCATACATTTTGCCACACAAAGTTTGTTACAATTTAAGTCCATACATATTTTCTCGGTCCCCATATCTACCTCTTTTTAACCAGCTTCAGGAATGGCGCTTCTTTCAAGTAGATAAGTTTATATTTTGACCGTTCCTCTTGTCTCATCTGCCTCCGTTCTCCAAGAAGTTCATATCGCAGATTGGCAAGAGAAAATGGAAGATCCGGAACGACAGCAAAACCTGACTTGGGCTCAAGTACCGACAATGCTTGGTTGAGGACGAAATCTCGGTCCATAAGTGACAGGAATCTAACAATAATGTTCCGCTTGCCTATGGGGCCATTAGGTAACCTGTGTACCGCTTGAAACAACATCTGTGCTACGACGTCATCGTGTATTTTAAGGGAATTCTTAAAGAAGTTCCTAATAGCTACAAGAGAGTACATTGGCTTCTCCTTAACTTCACCCTCTGACAATGTGTAGTTGATGTTGTATAGCTTATCTCCACCTAGTTTAGAACTTTTGGAACATTTAGAATCAGACATCTAAATGTACACAATTATTAGAGTTTTTTTTAATAATTCAATATCTATATTACATTATAGAGACAGGGGCAAGTCTAAGTGTGTATCTAATAATATCTCATTTTTTTCGCATCCGGTTTACACACACACTTACCTCAATCCATTTTGTATTATTATACTTATTATCGTAAGGAAACTCCCTGTAGGCCCTACTTTTAAACAAGTAATCTTAGTTGCAATGCAATTATTCAAAATAAGTGATTCGATCCGGAAACTAAATGTGTCGTGTTAATGTTTGTTGTTTACTTACTGTATGATAATGGCGGTCTACATGTGTTCGGAATTAGATGCTCTGTGTTTCTGGACGTGTTTACGTTTCCTGATGTATTGTGTGGATGTGCATTGAAGAATGTATGTAAGTAACAGAAAGTGTTGTAATGTTTATTTATAATCAACGTGTCGTATATGTCACGGCATGTTGCTGAATTGTTTTGTGAGGTTGGTTACTCAGTGTAAGCACCCACGTGTTTCACCTTCCAGGGTATACGTAGCAGCATTTACCATTTTAATTCGTATCAGGTTGATTATTTAACTTTGTTATCACTATTTCTCATTATTTCGTTTTTTTCTTTTCTTTTTTTCTTTTAGAAATAAATAAAGATGTCCTCTAAGTTCTACCCCATCAGTATAGAACGCTAAATTAACATATATTCAAATACTTGTACCTATCCCTCAATTATTTAAAGACAGGTACAATTAATTGAAGAAAGATCAAATTCAATTGAAGACGGATACAATTAATTGAAGATAGACTGAATTGTCATATTTGAACCTATCTTTGATTGAAATTGTACATATCTTCAATTATTTGAAGATCGGTGCACTTATTTGAATTTATGTTAATTTGGTGTTCCTTACATCAGTGCAGTTTCCCCATACATATTTTGTATATGACCAAGCTTGCGTTTGTACCTTTAACTTCCACAAAAAGAAAGAAAAAGAATTGTACGTATTACATGCATGACATATGTAATAACTAATTGTCATGCATAATGTTTGAAATGAGATCGCGGATCTATGCATTTGTCACAGTTATTAATTAGGGGTTAACGGTCAGTACAATCCGACACGTCACAAAGTTGATTTGGGTGCCTGATCACCCCTTCTTGATCGTCGGTGGCGATTTATTTATTGTACCTTGGGTTCCTCGTTTAACTGTGTGTACAGGTTTGAGATCAAATTGTACAAGTCTCCTCTTCTCACGAAAAAGTCGAGTAGTCAAGATTCCCATCATAGTTTGGTCAAATCTATGACAATCATGAACTTTACGCTTTCCTGGACAGTGTAAGTCAGCATTACTGTTCTGGTACGTCATACAGTTCCAAGAGAGAGCACACAAAACAAGCGGTTTCATAAAGTACTCCATAGTAAACCTATTTCTGCTGATAACAAATGTAGTGGCTTCAGCTTCGGGAAAATTAAACATACACGGCGTTTCGTTGAGGAATTTAAATGTAATTTCAGATGTTCTTTGCATAACTGCACCACCTCCGGGAAAAAACTGTAATCCCCTTTGTCTTGCAAGCCGGAACAACATATCTAATGGTTTTCCAATAAATCTTATTGAAGCGTCCATCCAAAGGACGAAATCATGATCCTTCAACACTGTCTGGATAATAATTGGTTTCCATGTGTACGCCTTTAGGTTAGCAACATGTTTAGGGTATTTTCCGAAATCGAAAGTTTGCATTTCACATTTACAATATTCTTTCATCTCACTATGTTGTTGCGCGGACAGACCAATGTCAAAATAAATCATCTTCAAATCTGGATGGACACCTAATAATCGATGGTAGTTATTAATCATGGCTATCGATTCCTTGTAATGATTGCTTGAAGCGGCTGTCACAAAGGTGGGATATTTTGCTGGTTGAGTCAATGGTGTAGAAAGTCTATCAACACCACTTTGGTCGAGCGACAAATCTTGGAGATACTTGGACGAGACGTTAAACTTATAGCTCGCCACAATATCCATATTTTCTATAAATGTCGTGTTTTTGGTGTTGCAGGTTACCCCTGGATATGATTTTTGCAACAACTTTACATGCGAATTTTGAAAGATTGACTCATAATATTCAGACCAATTGATTTTGTGTTGATAATCCGACAAGAGTGATTTTGTAGATGTGAGTTCTTTGATAAAGTATAATGTTAAAATGGTTACCAGGAGGACAGTTAACACGTAATACTTCTGCCACTTCTGCGACATCTCGAGACCGGTTTGTTCAGCAAGGATGACAAGGACTGTACAGGATCTGAAAACAATATATATATATATATATATATTTTAAACAAAATAATGCGTCTGTTTAGTCATTCTATGGTAGCAGTGTACAGTAGAGGGTTGTGGCCATGGGTGATATTTTTGTTAAATGGCTAACCCCTGTATAATGATATGTAAAAAAAATATAAAAATAAAACTGTACTAAAATTGGTATTAGCATGATGAAGTGGGCTATGTGAGCTTCACATTTGTAAATAAGAAAGATTTTTTTGGTTCGAGAATAAAATTTTGGCCATAATCCGAAAGGGTGCGTACACATGAAAAGCTAGCTTTACAGGAGGTAAAATTTTGACAACAGCACACGACGCAAAATTGCAAAAAATCAAGTTTTACAACTTTACTGGGACCCAGATAATTCTGCAACCAGGAAGGTAATCTTTAATTTCAGACAGAGCTTAGGAAAAAAAATATTAGTTGTGGGGGTCAAATTTTGGGTTAAAAATAGCAATTTTTGGCATTTTTTGGTAATTTTTGATGTGGTAACCATGGTTTTCACACAAGTGACATACATAGAAAAAAGAGGTTTATACACTTTTCAGTACTTTATATGTATTGTAAATGTAATGCAGTTTACAAATATATATACATGTATACATGTGTTGTGTAGGGTAAATCCGCTGTGTTTACATTTCCTCGACATATGCCTTGTTTATCAGAGTAGGGCCATTTCTACTGTATACTGCTACCTATGCAACTGATGTTGTTACCAATCGCTTTCAGTAGGAATTAAAGAGAGAGAGAGAGCGAGAGAGAGAGAGAGAGAGAGAGAGAGNGAGAGAGAGAGAGAGAGAGAGAGAGAGAGAGAGAGAGAGAGAGTTTGTGAATGCATATGCATCTGTGTTTGAGGGGTAAGAGGATAAATAAGAATTAAGAATTTGCTCTTGTGTCTCAAACTTGTTTACAATAAGTGTTAATGCTTTCTATTTGGTTTGGTTTTATTTTGGTTTAATATTGTTTAACGTCCTATCAACAGCTAAGGTCATTAAAGGACGTGCCTCCATGCGTATTCCGTATGTGTGCCGGATACAGGGAACAATGTATGTTGGTGTATTGACCTCCTTGCGATAGGGCAGAGCTGATAACGACTTTATAGTCCTATCTCACTAAAATACCATGCCGCATGCACCCAGCGCAGCATTCCGCCCAGTTACATTATACTGACAACGGATAAACCAATTGTTGCCACTCACCACAAAACTTGTTGAGATAGATAACGAATGTGTACCTAAACCGACAGGGGTACGAAGTGCTTTTCGTATAAACCCCTTCATTTGAACAGAAAGACACCCCTGCATGTCGGGGATCGGGAAAAGAATACATGATGTGTTGAAGTCCTTGCGATAGGGCAGAGCTGATAACGACTTTATAGTCCTATCTCACTTAAATACCATGCCGCAGGCACCCAGCGCAGCATTCCGCCCAGTTACATTATACTGACAACGGGTGAACCAGTTGTTGTCACTCACCAAAAAACTTGTTGAGATAGCTAACGAATGTGTACCTAAACCGACAGGGATACAAAGTTGCAAAACCGCTCTGAGGCAATTGACAAACAACACTACACAGCCATCGGAACAACCACATTGTATAGAATGCGTCAAACGAAAGCTCGACGAGCACTAGAACAATTTTGATTGAAATTCCTTCATTGGTACAAAAAGGGAAGGAATTTTAATGTTTTCCTCAGTTTAAGATTTAAATCCCTTCATTTGAACAGAAAGACACCTCTGCAGATCGGGGATCGAGAAAAGAATACATCTGCTGTTACCCACTGCAAGTATCGTAAGAAAGGACTGATGTTGGGGATTGTCTTTTGTGACCTCCTTTTCGGGACACAAAAGCGACCAAACTAAATCTGCTGCACCCATTGAAATATTTGGGATTTTTATATTTCTCTCTGCTTCTAACTACCTTTTATTCCTTTTGGCTTTAATGTTGATTGGTCGCCCAGGTGAGGAAGGCAATGGGTTCTGTCCCCATACCGGGACCTACAAAAGTCCTTAAAATGATAGTTTGTATTCCCTGCTTAACGTTCAGCATGTAGGGTAATGGCAACAACTGGTTCACCCGTTGTTTTTAGAATGTGCCCGGGCGGAATGCTGTGCAGGATGACTTCGTCAGTGTACTTTAGTGAGATATCACTAAATTCGGCATTATATCCCAATTATCACAAGGAGACAAAATACCAACATACCCTGTCTCCAGCACATATACACGCACGCATGCATGCACAACACACATGGAAGCACGTCCTTGAATTATCTTGGTTGTTAAAAGGGCAGAAAAAGAAGTCCCCAATTCTGCAGGGGTTCCCCACATAAGTTTGCTCTTGCGATACATGCATTTGATAACAGCAGGTGTAAATATTTTCTCGATCCCCGACCCGCAGGACTGCGGATATAAATATGCAATTAAGAAATATTCAACTTGCAAATTATTTACTACAATCGTACATAGCGTCTGCAATGAAGCATTAAAGCCGACGTCTTCAAGGAAATGTATCACATGCATTGTAACGTGTCCGTTTCTTTTGAAACTCTAGTCTATGACTTTAAGTTTAAGCTCATTTATATACCTAGGTCCTGTAGAGCTAAGTTTCTCTATTTTAGCTGTCAAGAGGCATGCCGGCTTCAAACCATGATTGCTGTGGCTTTGAGAAACTTCTAATATCATAGTAAAAGGCTCCGATAACACCTTTAAATGGAATACAAATGTAAACCCACCGGTCGTATGATATGGATAAATAAATAAACTTAACAAAAACTGTCTTCGTAAAATTGTGCGGTGTTATAACAAAATAAACAAGACAACTAAATCATTTACTATATGTTATTACCAAACAATATAGCTAATAACTTTAATATTTGAAGTTCAAAACCAGTGACAACTGTCTAGATTCATAAATACATACCTTGCAAAGACTACAAAATGACTTTTTTGTAGGTTTAGTGGCATATTTGAGTGTCACAACGTCAAGAAGTTGACAACCGGAAGTTTACAAGTAAAACCGTAAACCGTACACAAACAGGGAAATATATCAAAAGAATACATTTTTCAAACGTTAAATACCTGAACTTTCAGTTATCTAAAAATCTGTCACCAGTTCCTTTTTAAATACCTTCAGTGGCCCAGTAGATAGGAACTACAAACGTATGAGACACTTGCTGATTAGCTGATTTAGTTTTGTGAATCCTTTAAGGAAAACTTAACATTTTAACATGTTAAAATGAAGTAAATTGTTGAAAGTATATACATTACCGAGTAAAATGGTAAAGTTTGGTGGAAGTAAAAGAATAAGTTATAAAGAAAAACCAAGTTATAGCCCCTGATGTACAAACAATTCTCATTTCACTTACTTAACATTAGTCTCAAGCACACCAATTTACCACACACTCAGCAATTTCATATTTTGCACACACATTTATAACCCATACCACTCACATATTTTTGAAAAAAAATCTTGGTAACTCTGTTTGTAATTTTTACAGTATCTTAAGTAATTAAATGCTTAATTTTAGTAAATTTGTTAGAATTTTGACAATTCAACACACTTAAAATTCACACAAAACTCCAAAATTCATCACAAAACATGAGTCATAAAAGGTCATCAGATATCCATCTTAACTGACCAGTTATCTATTATACAGACTTACATATAGCACTTTTTGCCGGCACTTTACAGGGAGAATATTGGGAATAGGGAAGATGTAATGCTATAAACAGCTAATTATCTGAGTAAACACAACAAAAACACATTCTATCAATAAACAAGATGTTGGTCAAGGTCTATATTATAACAGGAAAAACAAAAATCTACAAGTCACTAAAAAAATGGAATTTAAGCTGGATTTAGCCAAAAAACCTATATGTGACACATACACATACAGATACTCACATGTGCAACTTTTGTAATAGCTTGTTCTGTGGTGCTGAGGAGCTATTTGCTGTCCATTGTGGTGCACGGTATAACAGTTATGAAGAAAGAACCAACCTATGACAAAAAAAAACAACCCCATAAGTCTCAACATAAAACATTTTTAAATCTGGGGAGGCTGAATATGAAACTATGACAGCACAACTTCATGCAGAAACCATCATACACATGGAATGAGCAAATTTATATTTAACAATAAAATGGTGCTAAATGCTAAATTGTGCTTTAAAATGTTTGAATAATGTGCTATGTAACTTGTGCTAAAATATGTGGTGTACTTTTACACATGGGTGTATGCTGAAACAGGTTAAGTTTCATATTATTTCAAAAAAAAAATGAGTTATTTAACTTGAGTTTAGTCATTGCTGTCTTTTAAACACAGAAATAAATATAATTTGAATGAGAGAAGTGGCCTAAGAATGGCTGAGCAGAGGTGGTTGGACAGGGAGGGAGAAAGGGGGGGGGGGGAGGATTGTGCAGGACAGCACATAATATTTTTGTTCTATGAAGATTCAGGTGCTAAAAGCTAGTACACAGATCATTATACACATTTTGGGGTAGACCTAGTACGGAGCGTGGAAACAGAGACCTAGACAACTAAATACAGGGGTCACTTCAAAACAATTTGTATATGGAACGAAGCGTATAGGGTATGTCAGAGTGTGTACACACGCATGCACGTATCTACAGGTAAGCGAACAGGTAACATCATATGGAGACAAGGATAAGAAAGTATGTAACCGGTAACCACAGTCGCTATAGTCTTTTTCGTGGCTCGATGCGGCAGGTATGTGACCGTGGTAATTGATATTTTAATATAATCGTTAAGGAATCTCACCCCGGACGTCTGTTGTATTTTTCTCACGCCGATCGAGTTAAAAGAAATTCCCCGAGCCAAAATATCCATTTGGAAGAAGTTTGTATTTTACCAGAGTGACAGGGATCACATATACATTTGTGGATTAAATTTATTATCCACAAACTTCTTAGGACACGATATTTCCATATTACCAAAGAAATGTTTAACGCTTACACGGTGTCTTTTTATAATAGCGTTAAGCTGAAGGTACTTGTTCCTCACATTTTTGTCACATCATTCCTATGCATTTTTGTATAGAGGTGGTTGGACAAAAGGACGTTTATCAGCATCCCTTCGTGGCAGAGTAACGTTTACGAATGTTCCTTCGCAACAGTAACATGATGGCGACGAAGCGACCTTTATTATTCTGTCATCTGTTTAAACACTAGATAAGCTACACTATTAGCCATAAAAAAGAGTGGTTTTCTGTATTGACATATGTTCTTGTTTATTCTCCTGAAAAATAACAACAGAAGAAAAGTAGAAATGTATTCAGTTTTCTGCTATTTTCGACTTAGTTTCAATCGAAAGCTTTCATGGAACTTTCTCCATGCAACACAACCAAATTATCTAAATATGGCGGTGGGGTGGCGCGTTTGGTGGGAAATTTTATGCTATTCTTAGAAGACTGTTCAGGGGATCATTTCAGGGGAGTGAATTTTCGGATTTCTATACTACTGCGATCAACTCTAGCATGCACCGAGTCTTTGTGTTCAGTAAAAACGATAATTAAAAAAAGAATCTAGAAAAAGAACCAAGTAATGTGAGATCAGCAAAGAGAAGTTTATCAGTTGTACATGTAATGAAAATCAGGGGATGTTACTGTAGGTAAGCATCTTCGCTAGCCGAGTGTTCGCTTCGTATACACTCCACTTACCCTTGGCGGATATAGCCGTGTTTTAATAATTCCCTCCAATGCCACCTAGCGGATATACCGAGTTATTGCTCTTCTCCCAGTTTTTTTTTAACCAATCAGAGTGACCGTTACATACAACTCCATCGGCGTGTTGACAAAAGCACGTGTATGTCGAGGCGGAGTATAAATGACAGAGCAATATGTAAACAATCCAAAGGCAGCACACATATTTTCCCAGGTCATCAATTACATGTGGAACGAAGGCAAGGATTTTCACCAACTGATTTAAAACTCCAGAACTTTCCCCAAAGATCGTGCGCCTATTTTTTGGGGGCAAAACACTCTGACATAAACGAAAACGTGCTTCCGTAAAGGGCATCGCCATTACTGTTTTTCTTTTGTCGACAGTGCTATATGTAAGAGACGTGATTTCATTGCATGCGAGTGACTGGCACCGCACGAAAATTTGAAGGCTCGGTAAACACGGCTATATCCGCCAAGGGTAAGTGGAGTGTATACTAAGCGAACACTTGGCTAGCGAAGATGGTAGGTAAGGAACACTAAAAGATCGTTCTTTAGTGTTTCGTCGCAAGCAGGGGACAGGAATCCTTAAAACAGATGAAATGGAAAACAATTTTGAGATGTTCCCTGATTTTACTAGTTTCGGTGTCTGTCTCTAACTCCGTGGTAGGTTTGCCTCAAAATGAGAAATGTCTAGTGAAACACATGCAGATCAATTATTTCAGTAAATTGAACACAACCATAATTAAAAACCTGAGTATTAGGGTCAGTCCAACTTGCTGGCTTTAGCACAGAGCCATTTTTAGCCCAGATTTAACCCAATTATTAAGTTTTATCAAGTTATATATATATTCACATACTGACCAAAATGTGCTAAGACTAAATAACAGTGGCTGTCTTTAAAAAAAGTGTCTGGAAACACTAAAAATGTGTGAGAGGTCAGGTTGAGAACATGCCTATTTCCCTTAAACGACTCGCACAACTAAATCATTTACTATATGCAATTACCAAACATTTTAGCTAATAACTTTAATACTTGAAGTTCAAAACCAGCGACAACTGTCTAGATTCATAAATACATACCTTGCAAAGGCTACAAAAAGTGGACAACCGGGAGTTTACAAGCAAAACTGGTGACCCAAAACAGAAACGCCCCCAGACATTTTGCCCCTATGCAAATCCGCACACAAACATGAAAATATATCAAAAGTATACATTTTTCAAACGTTAAATACATGAACCATTCATTTATCTAAATCTATTACCAGTTCCTTATTAAAATCCTTCAGTGGCACAGTAATTAGCCGGAACTTATTTCAGATAGGAACTACAAACGCCGATTGGCTGATTTAGTTGTGTGATTTCTTATAAAGTAAATATTATAGCACTTTTCCATCTCATCATTACATTCAGATTTTACAGTTTATATCTATAATCGTCCAAAAAGGTACGTAAAACACTTTTAATTTACAATAATTGAAACATGTATATCTCATTTACAATACCACCAAACATTATCAAATGGCATGTTATATAAAAATTCATATATCACTCAGTCACCATGTCTTTTTCTTTTTCATAAAATGCTGACATATATATTTCTAGGGAACTTCATCATGATTATATATAGGGTGGTTGGGTATGGCAATTTCCGTTTTTATTTAACGTCTCCACAGCAAGTAAAACTCGATTATGGCCCGCATAACCTAGGTGGGTAAATGACCTTGAGATAATGCCATTTTGTAGCAATCATTGTGGTCGCAGAGGACATTTACACGTTATAATGCCGGTGAACTATTGTTGATAAAGATCAGCCTTATTGCCTCATTATTGACAAAATTATCGACGCTATTTACCATTCCAATAACTAATGTCCAGTTTATATATTGTATATCGAAATTGCATATCTAAAGTACACCAACATACCCTGTCTCCGGCACACATCCACACATCCACACTAACATAACACACATGGAAGCACGTCCTTAAATGACTTTAGCTGTTGAAATCTGGGTGACTATAGCACCATTCTGGGGTCTTATTGAACCTAAAAATATACGTAGATTATCGTTGACTGATAAACAAACATACGGTATTAAATAATAAGGTTGCTTGCATTTCAGGACAGTCGTGGATGAGTAAGGGGTGTCCAATCGGTAAAATTTTGGTAACCCGTTACTCGAATAATCAAACAATATATAAACACACTACTATATGTTTAGCAAATGTTCTCTTTAAACATATATACACTACATGAAAAGAACAATAAACGTTTACCTGATAGTTTATTCGCGTATTTAAAGCAAAACCCAGGAAAAAGTCACATCTAACCTTAGTAAGTATAGTTCAATGACAACAAATGTCACAATGAGGTAAGACGGGATTCAATTACAGTTATTTGTACTCGAAACCATGTGCGTTAATATTGTTCTTTAAAACAAAATTTCCTTTACAAACTTTTTAATACGTGCGTGCTCATTCAAGTGTGTACTCTTCAGGTTACATTTACACCTCGCATCTCCAAAGATGCTCAAGAACAAGTTCAGTTCCCTTCGTTGATACAAAAGGAGAGGGATATTTTGTTTATCTATTTCCCCAATTTGACCAAACCTTTCTGCTCTAAAGGGGGGCACAGCCTACAATATGGAGTCCTCTTTCCCTAAGAATGCTCCAGACCATATGTGTGTTAAATCCCTTCATTTGTACAGAAAGAGAAAGAGTTTCCTTCATTCTCCCCCCTGAGGTGAGGGGGCACATCCTCCGTTTATACAAAATTGAAATTCCGTTGGCCAAAATGCTAAAGAATAATTTTGGTTAAAATCCCTTCATTTGTACAAAACGAGTAGGATTTTTAATTATTTCATCTATTGGGCCAAAACCTTTCGCGCCGAAGGGAGGCCACAGCCTCAGTCATTTCAAAGTTTGGCAATTTTCGCATAAGTATGTTCCAGATCAAATTTAGTCAAAATCCACTGAATCGTTACGGACTAGTAGCGTTTAAAGGAAAAAGTTGACGAGCACGGCATAAGTTCACTTGGCCCTTCTAAACAGGTGAGCTAAAAATACCTTCTTACAGAAAATATATCAGACAGTTATGCATTGTACCCATTTAAGAAACACCAATGACTTGGCAATCAAACCTGACAGTACAACATCAACACAGATGAAATTATGTTTAATTAGTCCAATGAAGACTCTCCATTAACTACATTGTATGACAGATCCTTATGATAAACATTAACATTCCGACTGAAAACATTCAACTTTTTTAAGCAGGGACAAAAATTACGTTGATATCCTGCTTGGATTGAGTATATCGCAGCTTGACAAGTTTACAGGCATATGTAATTTGATTCCAAAACCATAATTGTCCAAATAGATACGTACAGTTAGAATTACGCCCAAGTATCCACTTTTTGTGGCA